GATGGCAGAGACGTAGGAGACCTAAATTTCATCAGGTTCCAGGAATTCAGCTAGTTAGGGATCAAACCATTCTAAATACCTACAAATTCAACAGGAGATTGAAGAAAAGAATAGCAACAACTCTCTGAAGAGAAAAGCGACCACTTTCTGGAAGGTAGGATGTGCAGAGAAGTGAATCTGAGGTGATATTCGGGAGGATAGATGGCAGAGGAGCGGGCCTCCGCCCACTGCTTCTGGCAAGTGATAGAGCAGCGGACCACAAAATTGGCTCCGCTGAGGGATGTTGCTCCAGTGGCTAAGTGGGGGATGGAACCCTCACGGGACAATGTGGTCTCAAGACCCTCACAGAAAGACTGGGGGTGCCTGAGAGCAGCAGAGCTCCCAGGTATCACAACATGGAAGCCAGCTGCAGAGACGGAGCCGAGGAGCGGGCTCTCAGCTCAAGGTTGCCGTAAACCATGATCCGCAGCACAGTCGGGCCACTGCTCTTCCAGCAGGGACCCAACAAGCGGCAGATCCAGGGAGACTCCCCTTCCTCCCCTGGGAGGAGTGGCATGGGAGCACACTGCAGGGATCTGCTGGGTTTGGAGACTCCACATGCGGTCGGGTGCTGGAGATAGAAATGCTCGGTCACAGGCTGGGTGAGCACGGAGTGTGGCCAGAGATGGGGGAGACGGGAGTGATTGACTGCTTTTCACTGGGGGCTCACTGAGGAGTGGGGCCCGGAGTTCTCCGCTCCTCCAGGGTGGGGGGTATTGGGAGGCTGCCATTTCACTCTCATCCTCCAAAGCTGTACGGAAAGCTTGCAGGGAACAAAAGCTTCCGGGAGCAAACCGGAGCCAATTACTTAGCCCGGACAGGCAAGGGTGGGGCAATTCCGCCTCCGGCAAAGACATTTGGGCACCACGGCAACAGGCCCCTCCCCCAGGAGATCAGCAAGAACAGCCAGCCAGGACCAAGTTTACTGATCAATGAGACTGGCAGAACTCCAGCTCTAGGGGAATACTGCACATAGTATCCATGGCTTTTTCCCCCTGATTCTTTAGTCTTTCAAAGTTAATTTTTTTTAACTTTTTTTTTTCTTTTGAATTTCTCTTTTTCCCCTTTTCAACCAACATCTTATCAATCCCTTTTAAAAAAAATCTTTTTGAGGGCGCCTGGGTGGCTCAGTTGGTTAAGCAACTGCCTTCGGCTCAGGTCATGATCCTGGAGTCCCGGGATCGAGTCCCGCATCGGGCTCCCTGCTCGGCGGGGAGTCTGCTTCTCCCTCTGACCCTCCCCCCTCTCATGTGCTTTCTCTCTCTCATTCTCTCTCTCTCAAATAAATAAATAAAATCTTTAAAAAAAAATCTTCTTGATTTTTCATTTTTAGAGTCATATTCTATCCCTTCATAGTAGTTAACCTTTTTTGGGGAGATATATATATATATATATATATATATATATATATATATATATATATATATATATATATATATATATATATGTTGTTCTCCCTTGAAATTTTGGGACACAGTTTCTTCTAACACATCAAAATATACCCTAGATCTCTACTGTATGGCTTTGTTCTAGTCTCCTGCCTGATCACATTCTCTCCCCCCCCCTTTTTTTTTAATCCTCTTCTTTCTTTTTTCAACCAACTTCTTATCTTATCAATTCCTTTTATAAAATCTTTTATAATTTTCATCTTTACAGTCATATTCCATCCCTTCATCATATTAACCCTTACTTTTGTACATTATAAGTTTTTCTTTCTTTAAAATTCTGGGAGGCACTTTCCTCTAACAGACGTCTAAAATCTAGTGTGTGGCACTGATCTTTGCACCAGCCTGATCATATTTGATCATATTCTGTTTTTTTTTGTTTTGTTTTGTTTTTGTTTGTTTGTTTTTCTCTTTTTCTCTTTTTTTCTTTTTTCTTTCTTTCCCTTTCTTTTCCCCCGGTTTCAGTCTTTTCTGATTTGTTTACTGTATATTTTCTGGGGACGTTGTTACCTTGTTAGCATTTTGTTCTCTCATTCATCTATTCTCCTCTGGACAAAATGACAAGATGGAAAAAATCACCTCAAAAGAAAGAACAAGAGGCACTAATGACTGCCAGGGACCTAATCAATATGGACATTAGTACGATGTTGGAACTAGAGTTCAGAATGATGATTTTAAAGAGACTAGCTGGGCTTGAGGAAATCATTGGTTGTGATCCCTCCTCTTTTATTCATGATTTTATTTATTTGGGTCCTTTCTTTTTTCATTTGGATAAGTCTGGCTAGGGGTTTATCAAACTTTTCAATTCCTTCAAAAAACCATCTTCTAGTTTTGTTGATCTGTTCTACTGTGTGTGTGTGTGTGTGTGCTTAATTTCTATGTCATTTATTTCTGCTCTCATCTTTTTTTTTAAGATTTTATTTATTTATTTGCAAGGGTGGGGGGAGAGAAGGAGAGAGGCAGAGGGAGAAGCAGGCTTCCTGCTGAGCAAGGAGCCTGATGTGGGACTCAATCCCAGGACCCTGAGATCATGACCTGAGCCGAAGGCAGACGCTGAGCCACCCAGGCATCCCTCTGCTCTCATCTTTATTATTTCCTTTCTTCTGCTGGATTTAGGCTTTATTTGCTGTTTTTTTTCCAGCTCCTTTAGGTGTAAGGTTAGGTTGCATATTTGAGCCTTTTCTTGTTTTTTGAGGAAGGCCTATATACTTTCCTCCTAGGAGTGCCTTTATTGTACCCCAAAGGTTTTGAACTGTCATATTTTAATTTTCATTTGTTTCCATGTATTTTTAAAATTCTTCTTTAATTTCCTAGTTCACCCATTCATTCTTTAGTAGGATGTTCTTTAACCTCCGTGTATTTTTGGTCCTTCCAAATTTTTTCTTGTGGTTGACTTCAAATTTCATAGCATTGTGGTCTGAAAATAGGCATGGTATGATCTCAATCTTTTTGTACTTGTTGAGGGCTGATTTGTGACCAAGTACATGATCTATTCTGGAAAATGTTCCATGTGCACTCGAAAAGAATGTGTATTCTGCTGCTTTAGGATGAAATGCTCTGAATATATATGTTAAGTCCATCTGGTCCAGTGTGTCATTCAAAGCCCTTGTTTCCTTGTTGATCTTCTGTTTAGATGATCTGACCATTGCTGTGATTGGGTATTAGAGTCCCCTTCTATTATTTTATTATTATACATGAGTTTCTTTAAGTTTGTTTTTAATTGATTTATATATTTGGCTGTTCCTAAGTTAGGAGTATAAATATTTACAATTGTTAGATCTTCTTGTTGGATAGACCCCTTTATTATGATATAGTGTCCTTCTTCATCTTTTATTATAGACTTTAGTTTAAAATCTAGTTTGTCTGATAAAAGGATGGCTACTCCAGCTTTGTTTTGATGCCCAGTAGAATGATAAATGGTCCTCCATTCCCTCAGTTTCAATCTGGAGGTGTCTTTGGGTCTAGAATGAGTTTCTTGTAAGCAGCATATCAATGGACCTAGTTTTTTTTTTTTTTTTTAATCCATTCTGATACCCTAAATCTTTTGATGGGAGCATTTAGTCCATTTACATTCAGAGTAATTTTTAAAAGATACGAATTTAGTGCCATTGTATTACCTGTAAGGTACCATCGTTCCTGTAGATTGTCTCCATTCCTTTCTGGTCTTTGTTACTTTTGGTCTCTATTTACTCTCAAAGGGTCCCCTTAATATCTCTTGCAGGGTTGGTTTAGTGTTCATGAATTCCTTGAATTTTTGTTTTTCTTGGAAACTCTTTATCTCTCCTTCTACTCTGAATGATAACCTTGCTGGATAATGTATTCTTGGCTGCATATTTTTCCCATTTAGCATGTTGAACATATCATGGCAGTCCTTTCTGGTCTGCCAGTTCTCTGGACAGATCTGCTGCCAGCCTTATTTGTCTATCCTTATAAGTTAAGGAACTCTTGTCCCTAGTTGCTTTCAAGATTTTCTTTTATCTTTTTAATTTGCAAGTTTCACTTATAAAGGATAGCCATTAAAATACCAAACATCTAATTAGAGCAAGCTATCTAACATATTTACCTTTTAGTATAACTTTCAAGAAATATATTTTTAGGTTTTTATTGTAATGTCTTAATGTAAAACACACAAATGTGTAAAGAAATTCCTCTTTGTTTCATTCTAATGTTTAAATTTACCTGGGAAATAAAATTATTTATGATAATAGTTACAAATACCCACCCTCATTCATGATTCTTTCCTGGTATTTGTCCTTACCTACTGTTGAAAGAAATGACCATAAATAAATTATTCTCTTCTGACTGTTTTGGGTGTATTTCTGAGATGGGGATGTTCGTACAGAATAGACTTGGGTCTGGAAAGAGTGAGATTGCACACATCTGTGACCCAGGTTTTAGTGGCGCAGAGGCCAGTTGGTATCTTACAGGATGGCTGATACAGGCCTGTTCTAATGACCAAGGAGCCTCTTCTCCCTTCTTCTCTACATCATTCCACCCAAACAATGAATTATTAATTGAGGAATACCCCAACATATCTCAAGGCTAATTTTGGCACCAATAGAAAGTCAATTACAGTGTGTGTTAGAAAAAGATTCTGACAGATAAAATTTTTCTCTACTTATCCAGCTATAAAGTACTTGAATTTGTACGCAATTGTTAGGATAATTAAATTTTTTTCATCAAATTTAATGTTAAAAATGCAATTCCACTGGATATAGAAAATAAATAAAAATTTGGTGGGTATGAAAAGTGAGAGAGGTACAGAGTTTTTAAATTTCTTGTTAAATATATATTAATACAAATTCATGAAAATTAATTAAATGGTAAGCTGATAAACAGACAACATAGTTAATGCCTGATGAATATCCTCTAATAGGGGCAGTTATGTTTTGGGCTTGAATTACCTGGCATTCTTTTGACCTGGGTTGCATAGACATAACCTTAAAGTTAAAAAATAAAGGAACACATTGTAATCAATATATTTACTAATTTTTCTGAACATAACTTTATATTCAGTTTTTAAAATTAGTTTCAACTGCTTGAGTTCAAAGAATAATTTTGTGGCTGGCTGAAATAAAAAAAAATGAAGAAAAACCTTAAGAAGCATTATGAAATTTCTCTGGCCTGTACTTATACTGACTGCAGTTGTGGATAATCAGGTAAGAGAAAAAAAATGGGGATACATTTAGTTTGCTAACACTGTTGTAACAAAGTACCACAGACTGAAGGCTTCAACAATAGAAATTTATTTTCTCATAGTTCTGGAGGGTAGAATTCTGAGATGGAGGGGTCAGCAGGGTTGGTGCTTTCTGAGAGTCGTGAAAGAAGAATCTATTCCAAGTCTCTTTTCTGGCTTGTAGATAGCTGTCTTTTTTCTCTATCTTCACATCATGTCCCCGTTTTGTGTTTGTGTCTCTTCATTGGTATCAGATTTCAAGTTTGAATGTTGGGTACTGTGGAACTATTCTGCTTAAATACCAGGTATCAGATATTTTATAGGTTAAATAGGCTTTGGGTTCTAGACTAAAACACAATCACTCTTTTTAGAAGTGTGTTTAACTCTGCACTGATTTCTAAACATTTAAAAAAAATTTTATTTAAATTCAGTTTAATTAACATATACTGTATTATTAGTTTCTGAGGTAGAATTTAGTGATTCATCAGTTGCATACAACACCCAGTGCTCATTACTTCAAGTGTCCTCTTTAATGCCCATCACTCAATTAGCCCATCCCTAACATATGACACAATTGTGAAGTTGAAGAATAAATGCTTTAATTTGATACTGTGTACTCTTTGGGTATTTCAGACTTTAAGGAAGATCTTACACAGACTGAGAGGAACAAGACAATGCTATAAACTACATTGTCTGTTACAGTGGGGCATTGGATATCATCACAGATCAATGGAGTAGAAACAAAAATTGTAGAGATGCTTTTCAGACTGAGGCACATCAAGGTTGGTAAAGTTTGTTGATCATTTTCCTAAAAACACTGCCTTCATTCCTTTAGACTAAGTAGGGGAAAGAAATGTACCCTGACAGCTTATAAGAAAGTCACCCTATCTACCTTCTCCATAATCCACTTAGAGGGATGCTCTGCTAAGGTTTTAGCATATTTTATTCCATTCTTTTAAATACATTTGTACATGGTTAATATATAATGTGTACACAATTTGGTATTCTGTCTAGTTGCCTAATAGTAAATAATTAAGAATATTAATTGGCATTACATAATAAACATTTTATGACTGCATCAGGATATACACATATATAATTTACTTAAATATTCTGCTAATTGTTGAAACTTTTTGCCTATAAACATGTATCAGCATTTCTGATTTTTGACTTGGAAATCAATTGATTCTGAAAAGTGAAGTAACAGTTCAGAGGGCAAAAGTGATTTTAAGTCTCTGAGAATATATTGTCAAATTTCTTTCCAGAATGACTCTGTTTGCTTCACCTTGACAAATTTTGAGTATTATGGTTAGAAAGTGGAGTTGTATATATAGTACAGGGAGTATCCTATATACCACACACCCAATTTCCCATATTATAAATATCTTACATTAGTATGGGTATATTCATTACAATTAATGAATTAATACAGGTAAATTATGTTTTAACTTAAAGTCCATTCTTTATTCCGATTTCCTGTTATTCCCCCTAATGTCTTTTGTCTAAAAGTTCCAAGATCCCATCCAGGAGACCACTTTACATTTAGTTGTTGGATCCCCTGAGTGCCTCTTAGCTGTGACACTTTCTCAGATTTGCCTTGTTCTTGAAGATCTTGGTGGTTTTATGGATTACTGGCTAGGTGTTTTGTAGAACATGCCTCCATTGGAATTTCTCTGGTGTTTTTCTCATCATTAGACTAGGGTTATGTATTTCTTGAAGGAAGACCACAGAGGTAATTTCCCACTCTTACAATATCAAATCAAGGATAAGACTACTGACATGACTTACCACTATTGATGTTAATTTGGGGCACCTGGCAAAGATAGTATTAGTTATATTTTTCCACTATAAAGTTACCTTTTCTTCCTGCTTTCCATACTGTTTTCTTTGAAAGGAAGTCACTCTGTGTGGCCAACAGTTAAGGAATAGGTAGTCCCACTTCTTTATAGTTGGAGTATCTACATAAATTATTTGAAATTCTTTTACACAGGTGATATGCTATTTCTCCTCCATTTACTTATGTATCCAACATTTATTTATATCAGTATGGACACATGGGCATTTATTTTATGCTTTGGATTATAGTTCAGTGCTACTTTATTTTTTTTATTGCTCAAATTGTTCCAGTTTTGACCATTGAGAGCTCTTTCACCTACTTGCATTCCTTCGGCATGCTTCCATATTGTGTGTTGTTGTTGTCATTGTTGTTGAACACTTTCTTACTTTCCAGCAAAATAAGATGTTGCAAGCTCACCTTGTATATTTCTTGTCCCAGTCTTAGAATCAGTCATTTCTCCAAAGAGACCTAATTTTTTGGGGGGGGTGGTGCAAGTCTGAGAAACTATTACAATTGAGAAGAGCCTAGTTACACATGTCTACTAAATATAAAGTGATGCCCTGGATGGATCCAGGAAAAGGACACTAGGTAAAAACTAAGAAAATCTGAAAAAGTATGAACTTTTGTTAATAATCCAATATTTTTTCATTAATTGTAACAAATGTGAGTACAAATTTAAAATGTTAGTAATAGGGGAAACTGGATGCAGAGAATTTAGGAACTCTGTGCTATCTTTGTAAATCTAAAAAGGTTCTAAAAATAGAGTTTATTTGAAAATATGTTTCATACATGAATTAAAAGATGTATTCTACAGGTATGGCTGTAGTGTCCTGTAAGGGTTCTTAATTTAAATCTGTATTAGTTATAATTTTTTTTGTCTTCTATCAATTACTGAGAGTGGAATTATTGAGAGTAGAAAGTGTTAAAATCTCTCACTCTTACTGTAAAATTTTTTATTTCTTTTTGTAGTTCTGCAAGTTTTAGTTCATATGTTTTAACATAAACTATATTGTATAAAGATATAGCCTTAAGGACAAAACACACAGAAAGCTCCCTGAGGAAAATAGAGAGATTACTGTAACTGACTTCCTGAAAGGAAAAATTAAATCCAGATAAGTAAAAATTTACCTATAAAAACTGGAAGAAAATAATCATCCAATTAGATGTTTATACAAAGCAAAGCTATCCTTCAAGAATGAGGGCAAGTGGAAAATTTTGGACTAATAAAAACTGAGAAAGTTTATCATCTCACCTGATCACCAAAATGAAACTAAACAATTCAGGCAAAATAAAGATGATTTCAGGAAAATAAAAGATGGTCAAACATACACAAAAGATTCTAGAAAATGGTAAGTGGGAGTAAATTAAAACTATTATTATCTAAATAAAAAATTATTTTATTTTTATTTTTTAAAAGATTTTATTTATTTATTTGACAGAGAGCAGAGAGAGAGAGCACAAGCAGGTGGAGTGGGAGAGGAGAAGCAGGCTTCCCACAGAGCAGGGAGCCCAATGCGGGACTCATCTCAGGACCCTGGGATCATGACCTGAGCCGAAGGCAGGTGCCCTAAATAAAAAAATTTTAAATAACATCTTAAAATAAATAAAGAGATAAAATTTGTTTCAAAAATGGGAGTTGTTTGAGGTAATATTTCAAAAGGAGGATAAAATTATTGATAAATTTTGGACTTTTTTTTTAAAAGATTTATTTATTTATTTCGGAGAGAGAGAGCGGCGGGAAGGAATAGAGGAAGAGGGAGAGAAAAACTCAAGCAGACTCCATGCTGAGCACAGAGCCTGACTCGGGGATCAGTGCCATGACCCATGAGATCACTGCCAGGACCCATGAGATCAGGACCTGAGCTTAACTGACTGAGTCATGCAGGCACCCCAGTTTTGGACTTTTATAGGATAAATACAGATTATGTAAATTTGTCAGTACTCACCGAGAGAACAGAATTTGAGTGTATAATATCCCAACTGCAGAGGAAAAATAAATAGCATGAGAAACATCTAAATAAATCAAAAAGTAATCAAGAAAGCAGACAAAAAGATTTAAAACACAAATAGAAAGCACATATAAAATGGTAGCTACATCATCAAATATATCAATTATATTAAACGCATTGGGGTTCTTGCTTTGCCTCCGATTTTATTCCCTATTCTTTTCTCTTAGAAATATTTTAATATAAAAGTAATACTCCTTTTATAACCTATTGCTTTTATTAATACAAAAAAAGAATGCTTACTGAATTCACATTATTTTGTAATCTGGATTTCACATTATTTTGTAATCTGGAAATGTAATATTAAGGAAAAACATTAAAGTGAATGCAGATCTCTAGGAGACTCACAATTATTTATTCCAAATGAAAATGTAGTTTGCCTTTTTGGTGACACTGGCTTCCCATTGGATTTTACTCATAATTTCAGGGGGTCTAATTAAGTCAATATTTAGTGCCTATGTATACACCTATGTATTTGTATGTTAAATTTGTTTTTCTGATTTTTTTCTACCTTCCACCCATAGGTAATAACAGCTACCTCAACCCTTGCTTTGGGAATTAATATGCCATGTAAACCTGTTGTTTTTAAAAAAGATTCTGTTTATCTGGATGCCTTGAACTTTTGACAGCTATTTATGCTACATGCCTTTTGTTACATTTGTATACACAGGGATCTGGAACATCCATTCAGTAAGCCAAGATAAATCACATTTATTGTGAAACATTTAGAGATTACATAAAATACTTGAAAATCGGTTCTAGATATATGACATGAATATGATTATATTTAGAGATGTTTTAAGCAATCATTGACTGGCTAAACAGATTAGTTTTCTTGATAATATTCTTGCTTTGGTAAATATTATTGAACTTGAACAAAAATAGTATGAAGGAGAGGTAACCACATCTCTGGAGTACCCGATTGGTTCCAGGCACCAGTGATTATAAATGGGCTGTCTACAATGTTCTCAGTTCAGACTAATTTCTAGAAATACATTGGTAAATAAGATGAAAATTGTCTTGCTTAAAAATCATGATCTTCGAACAGTGATTACTAAAAAAGCAACCACATTTTAGGAATATATTTGTAAAATAAAATATTTTAAACTTCTCTGAAATTAACATACCAACCAACAAAGAACTCTTTCAAGGTTTTTGAAAGTTTAGTATTTCACATGATATAGGTAAGTTAGACATTAACCGATTACAGAGACAAAACATGAAATTATTTTAAAAGTTATGTGATCATCTCTTTAGATGTCTGGTCGTGCAGGAAGATGTGGAAAAGATCTTTTAGGAAATGGGTTCTTCTATGATATTCCATTACCTATGACAGGCACTTAAAGTCTAATGTGTCCATCCATACAGAAGGGTCAATTTCCTCTAAGAATATCTTTGGTTCTCTGACTTATTAGTTGCTAAAGCAAACGACAAAGAGGATGCCAAAGCAAAGGTAAACTGTTTCATATTATTTAAATTACTTTAATGAATTTAATTATTTCAGCTCAACTTTATAATAAGTTACAAAACATGAAGGGAATAAAATGACAATGTGCTGTAAATAAACTCACTGTAACATTTGCTTCTATTTTACATTACCCTTATTTAACACAAAAGCATGTTTTTAACTTTCATGCTTTCAAACATATGGAGAATTAAGCCCATGCTTTTTCTGTTATAATTATCCCTGGGCTCTGCATATGTTAAAATAGAAACTTTTTTCTGTAAATATATATGGGCTAAAACATTTTAAAAGTCAAATTTCAAAGAAATAATTAATGGTTCAAAAAATGTACAAAATCCTGAAATGTTCATAATTCTTGGTTCTAAATTTTTATGTTTACTTCTCACCTGTCATGCAATTGTGATTATTCCTCTCTCCCTCTGAATTTTTTACCATTTTCTGTTTATACATACATGTATTTAGTATAAAACATTATGAAATACCTAATTATAATAAGTATTATAATAATATAATAAATAATATAATAAAGCAATATGCAATGCCTAATTTAAAATGTAAAAATGTACCATACATTGTATATAGTACATAAATATATATAGTAACATGTTCCATGATAGAAATGTTTAATTGTCCTTTTGGGTATTACCTTTGGAGGACCTACTACAAAATTTGCTTAATATCTAACTTGATATTTTGATATATGTCTCTATAGACATTATCAGTTCTCCAACAGTCATTGATATTCTCCAAGCAACTGAAGATCAAGTGCATGGTAAAATTTTATTTTATATATTCTTTGCAATTCTGGGTCACAGAGGTAAGATTTAAACCTGTTTTTCACTAAGTCAAGGTGTTAGTACATGTATGTACCTCTACTGTTCTAACATCTCCCTTGTTAGTGTGTTTGATAGTTCTTATTTGTTTGATATTTCTGAGATCAAGAGACTAAGGTTAACATGTTAAAATTGATTTCTAGGAGTATGTGCATCAGGAATGTATTCCCATTGGATATTCTAGACTTGTGTCCCATTTGCACTACCATGAACCTGTGAATTTTGTTTTAGTAAGCTTGCTAGTCAAGGTTTTTTCACAGGTTGTGTATTCTGAAACATAGATGGTAAACAAGTTTTCCTTTCTCAAACTTCCACTCATTAGATAGTGTGCTTACACCGATAGAATTATAGCAAACTGTTTTCAGTTTTCTATTCCTTTAATGTTGTAGTACAATACACACAATATTTATGAAATAAGTATAATTCAATGATGATTACTTTCTATGATCCTTTGATGGAAAAATATAGACTCATATAGATTAAAAGCTTTATGGTGTGATCTAGTAGTTACTAAGGAATGTGATATAATATTATTTTAATCATTTTTATATAATGGAATATTACTCAACCATCAAAAAGAATGAAATCTTGCCATTTACAATGACGTGGATAACTAGAACTAGAATATATTATACTAAGTGAAATAAGTCAGTCAGAGAGACAAATACCATATGATTTCACTCATATGTGGAATTCAAGAAACAAAACTGAGCATAGGGAAAGGGAAGGAAAAATAACATAACATAAAACACAGAGAGAGGCAAACCATAAAAGACTCCTCACTAGAAACAAACTAAGGGTGCTGGAGAGGAGGGAGGTGGGGGGATGGGGAAATTGGGTGATGGGCGTTAAGAAGGGCACATGATGTAATGAGCACTGGGTGTTATATGCAACTGATGAATCACTAAATTCTACCCCTGAACTGGTAATACACTATATGTTAACTAACATGAATTTAAATTAAAAAAAAAAAAAAAGGAGAAGCTGAAAGAAAAAGTAAAAAAAAAAGCCAGATTCATGGACTCCAGCTCTGCCACTTAGCATGTAGTATCCAGGGCTGTTTCTTATCTGTAAATTGGGAATCATAATAGTATCTACTTCAAAGGATTGCTATGAAGATTAAAATAATTAATATATGTAATTGGCACTGTTAGCTCTTAATTTCATAGCTAGTGTTATTTTCAGATGAAATGACTGGCCACTGGAAAAGCCAAAAGAATCAACAGAAAAAAATGATTGCAATTAATGACAGTTTAATAAGTCTTCAAATGCAAAAGAGGTTTAATAAAATGTATAGTTTTCCCACATTCTAAAGTTACAGAGAAAATAAAATGTAAAATAATCTAACAGCAAAAAATGGAAATTATCAAGATACTATAGTTCATTTGTTAATTTGGCAAAGATTGCAATTACTAGTTATGTTGACAGGGCTATAAATAGTTTTATGACAAAAATATTCTTTAATATAGTAATTCTACTTCTTAGAATTTATAATAATTATATAATCAAAGATAGAAAAATGATGTAAAAATTTATTTTATTAGTTTCCCAAGGCTGCTGTAACAAAGCACCACAGACCGGGTGGCTTAAACAACAAAAATTTGTAAGCTCTCAGTACTGGAGGCCAAAAGTTCAGGCAGCATTGGTTCCCTCTGAAGACTGAGGGATAATATTCCTTGCCTCTCTCCTAGCTGCTGATGGTTTGCTGGCAATTCCTTGGCTTGTAGTCAAATCAGCCCAATATCTGCCTTCATATTCATGGTGTTCTCCCTGTGTGCATGTCTCTGTGTCCAAGTCTATCAGATTAGGGGTCCATCCTACTCTAATATGACCTCATCTTGACTATAACTGCAATGCCCTATTTCCTAATAAGGTTACATTCTGAGATACTGGAGCTTAGGATTTCAACATGATTTTTTGAGGAGCACATTTCAGTCCATAACATATCATACTTACATATAAATAAAAATTGGTGCTACCTATATATCCAACAATAAAGGAAAGGTTAGATAAATTTTAACATGCCTAAATGTGGCTATATTATACAGCCACTAAAATTCATGTTCGCAAATAATATTCTGTAACACAGCAAATGCTCCAGATATAATGTTAAGCATTAATATTAGACTGTAAAACTGAATACTACATCATAAATTTGTATATACAAGACTGGAAGGGAATACTATATACCAAAATCTCCATGGCCCTCTATCCCTTTAATTTTTATATTTATACTTCCCTATAAATAATAGAATTCATACTTAGAAATATATTTCCATCCAGACTTTAAAAAATATTTTGACTCTGTGTCTCACAGACTTTGGTAATCCTCTGTCTTTATTTTGGATATTTACATTCATCCATTTCATTGTTCCCAGGTAATTCTAGATGATCTTCTCAAGGACTTTGCTACAGTGGTTGAGAAACACAATGACAAAATTCAAAAGAATTTTGGTTTCTCCCTCTTAATGATTTCTAAGTTGGATGACATGAAAAAAGCATACCAACTACCTCTGTCAAAAATTGGTAAGATTGTGGAATGTACATGAACATAACGCAAAGTCAATAAAAGAAAATGAATGTAAATATTTTGAGATAAAGCTAAACTTTAGAAAATGAGGACAAAATTATTGCAAATAAAATATACCAGAAACAATCTTTCAGATCTATGCTCTAGAATTTTATACCAGAAAGGTCTCATATTATTTGGGATTAGTTAAACCACCCTGGATTTGACTTGACACTAAATGTGTAAAATATGTCTATATTTTTCTAGTGTCATTATAAACTAACAGACCATTGCATGGGCTAAATTTATTCTAGAATATCTCCTCTCCTATTGATGCTGTTTGCCTTTTAGTAGATACTGGCATTCTTAACTAGTTAAACTTTCAAATCTGGATAATGTTGAAAATATACGAAAAGAAATTTTGGCATATTTATTAAGGGTCATAAGTGTCTTATATTTCCTTGAGTACTATGGGGGGCAGCAAAGAAGGTGTTTCCCATGTCTTTGAGGAAAGGATAGAATAAAAGAAAAAGAAAATAACAAAAATATAGGGAAAATTCTGTAATGTATGCCAGGTAGAGTAAAGGCGTTAGAAGTAGAGGATATACTTAGCACCCCAAGATGAAAAGGAGAGAAGGAGAGGGCACTCAGAGGAAAATGAAAGGTGGCAGAATTTCCCTTCCTTCATTTCCATAAGCAAGGAGAAAAAAATGGAGCAGTAAGGGTTGCTTTGGTTTATTCGTATTTCTGGATAGACTATTAGGTTGGAATGTAGAGGCTTGTGAAGGACAAGAGAAAATGGTCAGTTTATTCAATCATGGAATAAGAAGTTAACTAATCAACTTCACAGAAAAGAACTTAAGTGTTTCAGGGCAATTACCTGCATTTGGGACTTAGAGGGGTGAGTACATTTATTTTTCCTCTCTGTTTTCCTCTGGGATGATTTCTGTGGTAGGCGAAATAATGCCCCTCCCCTAAAAAAAAAAAAAAAATGCCTGGATGCTAATCTTGGGAACCTGTGAATATGTTATGTAGCCAAGGTGTTACAGAACCTGGACTGGATCGCCCGATGGAAGAACCAAGCGGCATTCAGAGATCTTGGAGGATAGGAGGTTTATTTAATGCCAGTGGGCTCAGAGGAGAGTGATCTCCAAAGGTCTGAGACCCAAGCACAAACAAAGGGGGTAATTTATACACTTCTACTTCCACACACTGGGCAATCTTGGTGCGTGCGCAAAGCAGGGCGGGGAGAGGAACCTGGATTGGCGCGTGTGGGAAGCAGAGCGGAGAGAGAAGAACCCAGAAGAGCCCTGGGGCAGGGGCTGGGACTCCCTTGTTGGCTCGGTTGGCCATCTTAGGACACAGATTTTTCCTTATTATTCCCCCCGCTTTGATGCCCCTTTAAACACCTAGTTTAGAGGGCATCATTTTCATTCTCTAAGGGGCGATAGTGAGTAAGGAGCAAATGTAGTCTGATCTTAGCAATTTGAGCAGTGATAAACCTAGTAAGGGCTCACAAGGACCAAATGCTGCTGTGAGGAGGAGCATTAGGAGGGGGCCGATGAGGGGGGCAAACCAAGGGAACCATTGTGAGAGGGAATCCTACCAAGTCGTCTGCTGGAGTGCTTCCCACCAGTGATTCACTCATTCCTGTAATTGGTTCAGAGTTTCTTGGACCACCCCCAACTCATTAGCATAGAAACAACATTTCTCCTGTAAGAAGAGGCAGAGTCCCCCTTGCATGGTCATGAGCAAGTTGAGCCCATGCCTGTTTTGGAGGACCACTGAGGCCAGTGAATCGAGTTGGCACTGCAGGGCCAGGGCTGATTGAATGAGGGTGGAAAAATCTGCCATGAGTTGTTGAGTTAGCCCCTGGTACTGAACTTGAGGCATCCCAATGCTGGTGGTGCTGAGGGCAACACCTGACGTGGCCAGCACGCTCACAATAAGAGGGATGGCTGCGGGGGAACGCAGCTAGGAGGTCTCCATATAAGTGGGGCATCGCTCCCGGGGAGGACTGAAAGATCAGGTAAGAGACTGACAAGTGTGCATGATTGATCGCGTGGGGTGATGCAAATATATACACCTTGATCACAAGACAGAAAATTGTTGTTAGGCACACAGACCCGACTGTGACCTATGACAGGAGAGGAAGGTTTCCGTACAGTGGTACCAGAACCAGAAAGGGATAATCTGAGGTCTCCGGTGCCAAGGTGGGAGGTGACATGGTGGACTGGTTGAGGATGACACTTAGGTATTGGACGGGACTGGGTTTCATACAGATCCAGCAGTCAGATGCTGGGGGTGGTTTTGAGTGGTTAAGTGCTTGGTGGGAGGTGTTAATCATACCTAACAGTTGCAGTATAGATGCTTGCTGTGTGTGGATGGGGGACCCAGGCATATGACAGGGTGAGTTATTTTCTGTCTGACTCTGAGGGTTGACTGCAAGGCTTGGGGTGAACATGGACTTAATCATAAACTTGGTCATGGGGTCGGTCCCTATAGAGTGATATTGGCCCAACAGGAGAGTGATTCTTGTGGCCCATGATGTGGCACTGGGTTCTAGGACTGAGAAAGTGAGTGGTATACAGTGATTGTTAGGGCAAGAAGATGTTGTGTGACAAGGAAATCTGGATGTCACTGTGCTGTATGAGGATCCACCACCCCTTGGACCATTGTTCCATTCCCGGCCAAGTTGCCACCCAGGACTTGCATCCCCAGGCTTGTGGGCAGAACTGGGGGCAGGTGTTTGGCTGTTGCATAGGGCCCCCACAGATGTAGATATCTACCAGCCAGTAACCTCTGTGAGGGCCATGGTAGCAACAGAGTCTATGAGGTTCCCAGGCGGTATCAAGAAGCTGGCATCCATCAAAATGGAGGTCAAACTTTGGTGTGTGCCCATCCCAGTTGGAAGAAGTCAGTGGGGGTGCTGGTGCGGGGTTGAGGGGGATAAGCTGGAGAGTCCCTTTGCTAGTAATGGTGATACGAGAGTTTGCCCCCCTTGCCAGGCCGGGCAAACTAGAGGCAGTGAGGAGGAACAGCACACCAGGTAGCAGAAGACCAGGACTGACTGGGGCCAGGAAGACCATGGTGAAATGTGCTCAAGGGTAGACCACAGAGGGCCAGTAAAAGTGGGGTCTACAACCTTAGGTAGAGGGAGCCATCGTGCCTAACCTGGCAGCAGATGAAACCTGGACAAGTGAGTGCAGTAATACACCCTAGGGTCACCCAATAAGCAATGACAATAGTAAGCCTCTGGGGGAAAGTCCATCAGGAGGGGCAACAGTGTAGAGTTTGACTCCCAAGATGAAGGAAATCACACCGATGAGAGCCAGGGACCATGGTGAGCCGGTGTCCATCAGTCGGTGGGGTCTCATTGAAGGTGAGGTCCTCCTCTCGGGGTTCTTCATTGTAGTGGCTGGGCTTCTGAGCCTTTCCCCGGTTGGGACATTCATTTTTCCAGTGACCTTTCACCTTACAGTAGGCACATTGATCCCTTGCCAAGGGGGTCCTGGGTCTCCCCCCTTTTGGTGGTCGGGGTCTCCCCACCTTTGTGTTGTCCTTTTCTTTCAGGGTGGCGGCGAGGAGGCTGACTTTCTTTTTCATCTTTTTGTTGGCTTCCCGTTCGGCTGTGACCTCCTTGTTCATGTAGACCTTATTGGCAGTCTCTATTAGCTGGGTGATATTCATCCTGGCGAAACCCTCTAGTTTCTGAAGTTTTTTTCTGATGTCTGGGTGGCCTGAGCCACGAAGCAGGTGTTTACCATCTGTTGGCTTTCCTGTGCCTTGGGGTCAAATGGAGTGTATATCCTGTAGGCTTCACGTAGTCTTTCGTAGTAGTCCCTGGGGGACTTCCCTGGTTGTTGAGTGACTGAGGATACCTTAGTCATGTTCATGGGTTTCTTAGCTCCTGCCCGGATTCCCCAGAGGAGGGCCTTCCTGTGCCGGTGGATGTGGGCTTATCCCTCGGTTGTGGTGAAGTCCCATGCTGGGTGCTCTTTGGGTGAGGCCGTATTAGCCCAGGCAGCAGGGTCAATTACTCCCACTGGTCTTCCTGGTACTGCCGTGCACCTTTTATTATTCTCCTCCTTTCCTCTGTGTTAAATAGGGTGCAGAGTAACTGTTGACAGTCTTCCCAGGTTGGCCTCTGGGTCTGGGGGTGGTGGGGATCCTCGGCCTGGGGGCACCAGTGGATCCTCTGGGCCTGGGGGCGCAGGTGAGACTGAAGGCTGCAGAGTGTCTGGAACTGAAGGGCCAGGTGTAGATGGTCTTGGAGGTATGTATGGTGGGGGTGGGATCGGTTCCCACTTGGGATCTCCGGCTAGGATTTGTGGAGACTGGGGCTTTTGCTGATTTTCTTTAGGTCACTTGGATGAGGTGATTAAGACCCTGGCCTGTCCCTGCCTATTGCAAGCGAATCGCACCCAGGGGGGGAAGGTCTAGGCAATTCCTAGCCAGGAGTCAATGTACAAAAACTGGTCAGGGTGTCCTGGTTCTTCTGTTAAGACTCACCATACTCGACAAATCATTGGGACATCCAGTGTCCCTTCTGAAGGCCATGCGACATCAAAGGTGGGCCATTCCAATTCACATAGGGTTCTCAACTTGCCAGGGTTCATCCTGACTCCATAGTCTCCCCAAAATTCCCATAGTCTCTAGAACCATAGGTTTTCTCTGCCCTGACCCCATGGTGATGTCCCTGTGTGTGGTGGTGCAGAGACAAAGGTGGGGGTGCCTCCTGAGGTGAGGAGACCAGTCAGATGCCCATCTGGCCATGTCCCAAAGGAGCTTAGGTGAGGCTTAGCCATAGCGGTCTCAGTGTTGTGACTGATGATCTGAAACAATTCTGATGCTGCCATAGACTGCATGCCATTCACCACGGAATTGCAGATGGGCCCACTCAGACTCTGTAGGCTTCTGGGGACCTTAAGGGTGCCCACCCGTGGAGTCACAGAATCAGTCTGCTTGAGCAAGCCAGGTCAGAGTGCACATTCACTCACACATTCACTCCAGAAGTTATTACATTCCCTCTCTGGGAATCCCTACTTGTGAGACCTCTAAGGTCTCTGGGAGGTGATCAGGCTCCCTTTCACTCCCATGGGTGGGCCTATCTGGGTCCTGGGGCCCCAGGTCTTACTGTAATCTGACGTCAGGACCAGGTCCTCACCTGCCAAGTCTCCTGGAGTCCAGTGGGAACAGCGGAGCGGGGCTGGCCTGAGGTGACCAGGGTAGGAGGCTGCCGAAAATTAGGCAGGGTGTGCCTTCTGCCTTATGATCTCTCATTCTGTCACTGCCCCGCTGTTGCCCCCAAACCGGTGGCAACAATGGGCCAGCATGGTTGGGTTTCCTGGTCAGGGAACCAAAAGTTACAGAACCTGGACTGGATTGCCCGACGGAAGAACCAAACGGCACTCAGAGATCTTGAATAGGAGGTTTATTTAACGCTGGTGAGCTCAGAGGAGAGTGATCTCCAAAGGTCTGAGCCCCGAGCACAAACAAAGGGGGTAATTTATACACTTCTACATACTGGGCACTCTTGGTGTGTGCATGAAGTGGGGCAGGGAGAGGAACCCGGATTGGCCATGCGTGGGAAGCAGAGCAGAGAGAGAAGAACCCAGAAGAACCCCGGGACAGGTGCTGGGACTCCCTCGTTGGCTCGGTCGGCCATTTTAGGACACAGATTTTTCCTTGTCATTGGGAGAACTAACATTGCAGACTGGATTTTCTGGATTGATCCAACGTAATCACAAGGGTCCTTGTAAGTGAAGGAGAGGGGCAGGAGAGTCAGAGAGATGTGATATGAGAGAGATTTAACTGATCCTTGCCTGCTTTGAATGTGGAAGGGCTCAAGGACTGTGAGCAAAGGACTGTGCAGCAGCCTGTAGAAGCTGGGAAAGGCAAGGAAGGAACCAACACAGCTCTGACTACACTTTGGTCCAGAACTTTCATAACCAACTTAGGTTGTGTTAAGCCAAAAGTTTGTGGTAATTTGTTACATCAGCATTAGGAAACTAATACAGCTTCTGAGAAAGTGGACAAGTACATAAAAAAGAATGACAAATAATAAGCGATATTTTTTCTTAAGTTTCTGTTAATTGAGGTAAAATTCATATAACATACAATTAATCATTTTAAAGTATATAGTCCTGTGGGCATTTGGTATGGTAAAAATGTTGTGTGACCACCACTTCTATCTAATTAAAAAAATACAATCAGACAATTAGGTTTTCTTTTTTTTAGTTTTTCTTTTAATTCCAGCTGGTTAACAGGATCAGATGATTGTAACTGTTAAATAGAAACTATTTAGAGTTTCTATTAATAAATCCAAGTCATGCATTTAATTTTGGGGGCTTAAGGGTCAAGCATTAAACCCTTGTGTTTTTCCTCTAAAGTTGGGATTAACAGAACAATTAATGTGGAAGTGATATGGATGAAACTGAATTAGCATGAGTCGCATTCTCAGTCAAATGTGGTTTATAAAACATAGTCCCAAGTGAAACTGCAATTACCTGTCCCCTAAATAAAACAGCAATATCCCCCTCCTTAGATTCTGTCTTCTACGTTACTACATAATACTACATTATGTATTTCCCTACATAATAGGGAGAATACAAAGGTGTATCTTCTTAGTAGGAGGGGGGTCTGAAATAGAGAGAAAGACAAAGAGAAAGGGACAGACAGAAAGACTGGCAGAGGAAGACACAAAGAAGTCTGTGTAGGAAAGGCAGAGCCACATAAGGAGAGAGAAACAAAGACAGATATAGAGACAGACAATCGGAGAAAGAAGTAGGGAGAGATAAAGAAATGAGACACAGTGGGATGCCTGGGTGGCTCCGTCGGTTAAGCTTCTGCCTTTTGCTCAGGTCATGGATCCCAGGGTCCTGGGATCAAGTCCTTCATGTGGCTCCTTGCTCAGCACAGAGCCTGCTTCTCCCTCTGCCTGCCACTCCCCCTGCTTGTGCCTTCCCCACTCTGACAAATAAATAAATAAAATATTAAAAAAAAAAAAGAAATGAGACACAAACACAGAAAGACAGAGATGGACAGAAATAGAAATAGAGAGGAACATATGGGCAAAAAAGACAGACTGAGTGAGACAGACATAGAGATTAACAGAAAAAGATAAAGACAATGAGACAGAAAAAAGAGAGACACAGTACAAAGGAGAGGAGTAAAGAGGAACAACCATGACCAAGAGGCAGAGAGGGCAACAGAAGAGAGGTGGCAGGTCATTCAAAGAGAAACAATGAAACACACAGAGCCAAGTGTGTTATTGTCAGAGAAAGAAGTCAGAGAAGAGAAAGGAAGGAGGAACTGGAGGGAGGAAGAGAGGGGGAAGACATAGAGAAGGATTTGAGTCAAAAGACAATAGCTTCTTCTCCCAAACTCACCACTCAGGCCTGGGGTGACAGGAGTGAGTTTGACAAGGGCTAGAAATATTCCTCTATTGTTTTTGCCTCCTGGTGACTAGCAGGAATTTCTTCCTTTCTGTTACAATATGAGACTTAACATAAGAAAGTGGGTGATGATGTCAGTTTTAACTCTATTATGAGAAAATTTGCAGTTTTTGTAGCTTCATAGCATCTTGAGAAGAATTAGCTGACAATGAATCATATTTTAGAGGACAAGTGGATGGTGCTGGTTCTTGACCTGAGATCCTGAGATCCACTAGTGTCCAATGAAGCATGTTTCTTATATTACAAATGGTGTCTATCTAATTTCTGAGTGGATAGACATGGAATTATCCAACTGGACCACTGATGACTATAAATAATAATGCCACTAGCACTTGCCAGAATGAGTATAGTGTAGGGAAAAAAGTTTTCCCAGCGATAATCCAGAAATATAATTCTTAAATTTTCATCTTAATTATTTTCCTTTTTTAAAAAAAAAGTCAATAATTCACCTAGTAATAGTGGCATAAAAAAGTATAACTTGTTTTTTTTTTTTTTAAAGATTTTATTTATTTATTTGAGACAGAGAGAATGAGAGACAGAGAGCATGAGAGGGAGAAGCAGACTCCCTGCCGAGCAGGGAGCCCGATGTGGGACTCGATCCAGGGACTCCAGGATCATGACCTGAGTCGAAGGCAGTTGCTTAACCAACTGAGCCACCCAGGCGCCCAAAAGTATAACTTGTTTTAAATAATGTGTTTAATAGAACTGTTTTCAATTCATTTATTTGATTTTCTAATTAATTTCTTATTAGACTTTTTAGGTAAAGAATGTAAAGACTCTGAACTCGTTTCTTATTTGCTGCCTGGGACTGAAAATAGAATGATTGTCTTCCCATTTGTTTGCCTGTCCAATATAACTGATCAAGATTTATTTGATATGAATGTGATAAATGATGTATATGAATTTTGGTGTGTAACTTTATTTTATCCTGTTTATTCATTTAAGGGAAATAATTTTTATGTCATGGTAATATTAGCAAAGTGTCTAGTAAAACAAAGCCATCTTACTCTTATTCCAGAATAGTAGTACTTTGTACTGAAGTGGAAAAAAAAATTTTTTTTTTAAACTACTTGAGTAGGGGCGCCTGGGTGGCTCAGTTGGTTAAGCGACTGCCTTCGGCTCAGGTCATGATCCTGGAGTCCCTGGATTGAGTCCCGCATGGGGCTTCCTGCTCGGCAGGGGGTCTGCTTCGTCCTCTGACCCTATCCCCTCTCAGGTGTTCTCTCTCTCTCAAATAAATAAAATCTTTAAAAAAAATAAACAAATAAACTACTTGAGTAGTTTTAGAATAAAAATAATTGATATAGGGACACCTGGGTGGCTCAGTTGGTTAAGCATCTGCCTTCAGCTCAGGTCATGATCCCAGGGTCCTGGGATTGATTCCCATGTCGGGTTCTCTGCTCAGTGGGGAGCCTGCTTCTCCCTCTGCTGCTGCTCCACCAGCTTGTGCTCTCTCTTTCTCTGTCAAGTAAATAGATAAAATCTTTAAAAAAAAGGAATTGATATAGATAAAGAAAAGAATGTTAGTTTCTCAATTAATCATCATGTATGAATTATGTCTTACTATGTGAATCACTGTACCGTAAGCCCTTGCCTCTCCAGGTGTGAACCAAAGACCAACAACGTCCGTGTCCCCTGCTAGAAATGATGAATCTTGGAAGCCACCTCAAACCTAGTGAGTCCAAAATACACAAACGTTTGAGAAGCCCTGCTATAAGTCTTTTTTTTTTCCATTTTAAAGAGTTTTATTACACGATGTTAATATTCAGGACACTTCAGAGCACCTTATACTTCTAATCAGATATTTGGTAACTGATTTTAAAGTGTTACTTGAGTATTTTTCTCATACTGGCTTTCAGTCAAAAATACTACTTAGTGATTGTTTAAGAGATGTTAATTTGATTAAACAGTTTATCCTTAATAACCTGAGACATCAATCCATGGATAGCTTCTGTGGTAGTTTTATAGCTGTCTCTTGTAGCTTTGGCAAGTTTGTCTTCTGACTTTCTGTCATGTGTTTCTAAACCCAACATGAAACTCCCTTGTCCCAGCTGGGCTTCTGACTGTTCTAATTTTTCAGACAACTCAAAGACCTGACCAGTGGTATAGTCTGCATTAGTAAGCAAACTAGAGGAACTCAGTATATTCAATCAGTATTTATTCCACAAAAGCTCAAGCAATTTGCTGTCCAATGAGGATTTGAAATATGAGACTTCTAAGGCATAGTATTATTTGCAATGTACACCAAAGTCTTCTATTTTATTAAGTGGGATAGTCTGGTACTCAGAAGGTCCTTTATCAGGGGGTTTGTAGCCCTTTGGATATGTCCTAAAGGCTTCAGGATTCACTTTTCCTTCAGATATTGTTCTTGTTGGGTCAATTACTACTGCTACGAATGGTGCCTGGATCTGCTGATTGAGCATCTGGGTACTAACATCAATCCCAGAAAGCCAGCAGCCGTAGCCAGGATGGCTGTGATACCAGCCAATTGCATTTTCAAGGCGGCCAACCTGTTTAGCATTTTCTATATACGCAGCCATGTACTCATATGCAGCAGCCTGAGCGTTGACTCGGGGTTCAGTGCCCTCTATAGGCAAAGCAAAACTGTCCATAATGATCATGGTCTCACCATCCACCTTTCCCAGCATTAAGCCCATCACTTCCAAGTTGCCTCCTGATCTGGCATGCATCATCATTTCAGTAGAGCCAATGCTGAGATTTTGCAGTACTTAAAGTAATGGTGACTCGCTAGGTTCCCGGGTGTGGGCTTTGGACCCTTCCCACCACAGGTGCTAACTCGTACTAGTCTCTCGAGGCAGTCATGACCTGCTATAAGTCTTTTGAGGGCAGTTTGTGTTTGTTTATTTTTATGATCCTTGCACCTAAAAATGGTGTATGGTACAGAGTAGAAACTCAATAAACATATATAAAATACTTTAATTTTTTAAACTAATGTAAGAACCACTTTGTTTACTGCCCCACGTGATTGAGAACAATGACACAGCCAGCCCTCGCTGGACTCCTGACAGCATATCCATAGCACTCTGATAGGAAATAAATTCTAATGACTACTTATATCATTTGCCCAAATCAGACAATTACATCCTGAAAAACAGTTTAAGAAAAAATAGGGGTGTATGGAAAGGGGAAGAACAAGCACTATTACTGTTATGTGTATCTGATACCAATATAAGTTTGTGGGCTCACAAATATTTTTTCAGGAAAAATGGATTAAAAATGCAGTATATTTCTGAGGCTATAAAAATAACTATGTAGCTTCAAATTTTGAATAAATTAGAGACATATTTTCTCTGATTTCAAAAATAGTTTTAGTATTTTAAGTACTGGCATTTTTACTGATTTTATTTGGTCATTTAAAGTTTGGAGCATCTTAATATACTGAACATTTGACAATATTTCATTAAAATGTATTGGCTTATTGCTTTAGTTTGCTACATGTAAGCAAAGAAAAATGCTAACCAAGCTAAAATTTCTGCATATCCACAGGCCATATTACAAACAGTTGATGTGAATGTAAACAATGTGTCCACTGAATGCTTACATACTGGACTTCTACAAACATGGTTCCCTGTTAGCACTGACTGAGGTTAATTTTTATGACCTTTTCTATTTTAACACTCTTTATAGACATATTTGCTTAATGTTTAATGTGGTGTGACATTATGACATGAGAATAATTTTAAGATGCAATAATTTTAGAGGTCATTAAGATCCAAATTATTTTAGACTATTTTTAAAATACGATTTACCATTGTTATTATTGTGGTGAAGTTTACATAACATTAAATAAAATAAACCACTCTGAAGAGAATTATTTAACAACATTTGGTACCTTCATAGTTGTGCAACAATTAACTCTATCTAGTTACTAAACATTTTCATTAACCCAAAGGGAAATTTTGTGCCCATTAAGTGATAACTCCCAATCTCTCATTCATTCCTTCATTCCCGCAACCTCTGGCAACTACCAATCTGTTCTGTCTGTATGGATTGACTTACTCTGGATATTTAATATGAATGGAATCACACAATATAGGTAACCTTTTGTGTCTGACTTCTTTCACTATAGTATTTCAAGGTTCATACCTGTTATAGCATTAACAGTACTGCACTTCTTTTTATACCTGAATACTATTCTTTTGTATGTTATATACAATTTGCTTACCTAGTTGATGGATATTTGGGTTGTTTCAATTTTGGGTTATAGTGAATAGTACTTCTATGAACATACATGTACATATATTTATTTGAGTACCTGCTTTCAATTCCTTGGGTATATGCCTAGGACTAGAATGGCTGGGTCACATAGTAACCATATGTTTAACTTTTTGAGAAATCTCACATCTGTAATTTTCCTTTTTTTAAAAAAAATTATAGCCATTCTAGGTGGTATGAAGTGATATATATCTCATTGTGGTTTTGGTTTGCATTTATCTAAAAACTAATGATGTTGAGCACCTTTTCATGTTATGACACAATGTATATATGCTCTTTGGAAAAGTGCCTACTGAAGTCCTTTACCCAATTCTAATTATGTTGTTCTTTTTGTTCTTGATTTGTAGATATTCTTTGTATATTTTAGATATAAACCCTTACCAGATACATGATTTGCAAATATTTTCTCCTATAAGGTATCTTTTCCTTTTCTTGATAATGTTCTTTGGTACACAAAAGTTTTTAATTTTGATGAAGCCCAGTCTATTTTTTCTTTTGTTGTTCATGCTTTTGGTGTTATATCTAAGAATTCATTTACAAATCCAAATTAATGAAGATTTATCCCTATGTTTTCTTTCCTTTTTTTTTTTTTTAAGATTTATTTATTTTGAGAGAAAGAGAGAAAGAGAGGGATAGTGGGGGGGGGAGCGGCAGATGGGGGAAGAGACAGAGAGGGAGAATCTCAAGCAGATTCCCTGCAGAGTACAAAGCCTGAAACAGGGCTCAATCTCACGACCCTGAGATCATGACCTGAGCTGAAATCAAGAGTTGGACCCTTAACCAACTGAGCCACCCAGACACCCCTCCACCTATGTTTTCTTATAGGAATGTTAAGGTTTAGCTGTCGAATCCATTTGAATAAGTTTTGATATATATCACTGATACATTTTGAATAAATTTTGGTGTATATATATATACACCTGTTAGCACTGTTAGCCATATATATATGGCTTTTAAAAAAATTTATTTATTTATTTGACAGAGAGAGAGAGTTAGCAAGAGCAGGAACACAAGCAGGGGGAGTGGGAGAGGGAGAAGCAGGCTTCCTGCTATCAGGGAGCCCAATGCAGGGCTCGATCCCAGGACCCTGGGATCATGACCTGAGCTGAAGGCAGACACTTAACAACTGAGCCACCCAGGCACCCCTATATATGGCTCTTAAACCAGGGAAGTGTCTCTTACAAATTTGTTCTTTGTATTCAATATTGTTTTGGGTATTCAATGTCCTTTGCGGTTCCATTTAATTCAAGGATTGTCTTTTCTACTTCTACAAAAGGGGCTATGGGAATTCTGATAGGGATTGCAATGAATCTATAGATCACTTTGGGTAGCATTGTCATTTTATCAATATTAACTCTCCCAAATCATAAACAAAATGTGTACTTCCATTTTTTAACTCTTCTTTAATTTCTTTCAGCAATGTTGTAGTTTTCAGTGTACAAGTCTTTATTTAGCCTTGGATAAATTTAAGTTTTTTTTTTTTTTTTGATGCTATTGTAATGGGATTTTTTTCTTTAATATACTTTTCAGGAAATACCTTGCTTGTGTATAGAAACACAACTGAGTTTTGAGTGTTATTATTGAACTCTACAACTACAAAATTTATTAGCTCTAATGCTTATTTTGTGGATTCTTCAGGGTTTTCTATATAAGGGATCATGTCATCTGTAAGATGTTTAGCTTTCTCCTTTCCAATTTGGATGCCTTTTTTTTTATTCTTCTTACCTAATTGCTCTGGCTAGTACTACCTGTAAAATGTTGAATAGCAATGGTGAAAGTAGACATTCTTGTTTTGTTGCTGATTTTAGGAAAAAGCTTTCAGTCTTTTATCACTATGTTAGCTGTGAGTTCTTCATAAATGTTCTTTCTTGTGTTGAGGAAGTCCTCTTGTTTTCCTAGTATGCTGAGTGTTTTTATCGTGAAAAAGACTTTTTTCCAATGTTATCCTGTATTACTCAGGTGATCATGTAGCTTTTTTTTTTTTTTACCTTCATTTATTATGTAGTATATTACATTGATGGATTGTCTTATGTTGAATCACTCATGCATTCTTGGATAAATCCCACTGAGTTATAGTGTATAATCTTTTAAACATGCTGTTGGACTCTTTGCTGGTATTTTGTTGAGGATTTTGCATCTATATTTATAAGGGATATTGGTGTGTACTTTTCTTGTGATGTCTCAGTCTGAATTTAGTATCAGGCAATACAGGGCTCATAGAATAATGAGTTAGGACATATTTATTACTCTTATGTTTTTTGGAAGAATTTGAAAAAGATTGGTACTAATTCTTCTTTAAATGTTTAGTAGAATTTGCCAGTGAAGCCAGCTGGTCTGGATTTTTCTCTGTTGGGAGGTTTTTGATAACTGATTCAATTTCTTTACTTATTATAAGTTTTATTAGATTTTCTATTTCGAGTTGGCTTTGATAATTTATGTATTTCTAGGAATTTATCCATTTATCCTGGATTATATAATTTTTTTTGGTGTACTGTTAGTTGTTCATAGTACTCCGTATAATCCTTTGTATTCCTGCAGCATCAGTAGTAATGTCCCCATGTTCATTTCTGATTTTATTTATTTACATCTCTTTTATTTTCTCTGTCAATCTAGCTATGTTTGTCAATTTTGTTGATTTTTTTCTGAGATCCAAATTTTGTTTTATTGAGCTCTCTATTGTTTTCCTGTTCTCTGTTTTATCACCAACTAATCTTTTTTATGTCCTTCTTTCTGATAGCTTAGATTTTAGATTACTCTCCTTTTTCTAGTTTTTTAGGGTATAAAATTAGGTTGTTGAGATCTTTCATCCTTTTCAATGAAAAAGGCATTAACTGGCATAAATTTCCTCTGAGCACTGTTTTCTCTGTGTCAGATAAGTTTTGGTATGTTGTGCTTTAATGTCATTTATTTCTGAGTGTTTTCTAATTTTCCTGGGATTTTTTCTCTGATCCATTGTTTGTGTGCTGTTTAATTTCCATATATTTGTCAATTCTCCAATGCCCCTTCTGTTAATGATTTTTAGCTCCACTCCTTTATGGCCTGAAAAGATACTTTCTATGACTTAAGTATTTTTAAATATATTGAAACTTGTTTTGTGGGCTAACATATGGTGTCTTCTGGATAATGTTTGTACATGTTCTGCTGTTGTTGGGTATGTTGTCCATTGGGTCTAGTTGGTTACGGTGTTGTTTAAGTTAGTTATTTCCTTACTGATATTCTATCTAAACATTCTATCTATTATTGGAAGTAGGGTATTGAAGTCTTTATTATTTTAGAACTGTCAGTTTCTTCCTTCCATTCTGTTAATGTTTACTTCATATATCTGAGGTTTCTTTTTTGGGGGGTTTATATATTTTTAATTGTTATATCTTCTAGCTGAATTAAACCTTTTATCAGTATATAATGTCTTTTTAAAATCTCTTGTAACAGTTTTTTTAAAGATTTATTTATTTATTCCAGAGAGAGAGAGAGTGGGACGGGGGCAAAAAACAGAGGGAGAGGGACAGAGAGAGTCCCAAACAGACTCCCTGCTGACTGTAGAGCCCAACGTGGGGCTTGATCTCACAATCATGACCTGAGCCAAAATCAAGAATTGGACGCTTAACTGACTGAGCCACCTAGGCACCCCCTCTTGTAACAGTTTTTGACTTAAAATCTATTTTGTCTGATACTAGTGTAAGCTACTCAGTTCTCTTTTATTTGCTATTCGTATGGAATATGTTTTTCCATCATTTCACTTTTAACATCTTTGTGTCTTTGGATCTGAAGTGAGTCTCTTACAGTCAGTATATAGTTAAATCATGTTTTTTTTTAATCTATTCTGCAATCTTTATCTTTTGATCTATTTACATTTAATCTATTTTATATATAAAATAATTACTGATAATGAAGAACTTACTTTTGTTGTTTTAATATTTGCTTTTTATAAGTTTTATGCCTTTGTCTTGTTTGTTTCTTAGGGATAGTTTCCAGTAATTTCATCTGTTAATGAGTATACTTCTATGTTTTTTCATGCTTCATACATATTTTTGAGAATTGTATGTTTTGAATATTATGATGCAGTAATTCTAGAATTTTTTTTTCTTCTTAACATTTGTTTTTGTTTCTAGCTGTTCACTGTAGCTGTAGTTTAGTGACTTTTCTAAACAATTTTTTAATGTCTATATTCTTCATCATGTGTGGTCTCTGAAGTCCTTGTTTCTTTAGCTTGTATTCTGCCACTGTTTTGACAGATTTCTTTGAACACAGGAATGAACAAGAATGAGAGAAGAAGAGGGGGAGAAGGAGGAATTAAGAAAAATATTTCTCCCACATTTTGTAGCTTGGCTTTGTGCTGGGATACCCTTTCAATATTTAGATAATTTACAATTCTGCCTTGCCCTTAACTTTCTGCTTGGACTAATCCTAGAGACCAGTCAATTGAAAGCTTAGGATCTTCTCAAGTGTTTTTAGCCATGTGTCCTGTCTTAGGCATGTGCATGGCTTTCTAAATCCCCTTATGTATGGGGCATGTATAGATTTCCCAAATTTTCTTCACAGGTTTTCATTACTTAATTACTTAATTACTCCTTCAACTGTAATCTTTTGCCCTAGACAGCTGCAAGTGGTTCATTTATCTTATGATTTTTCCTCCTTGAGTGAATTCTGAGTTGGACAAAACAAAGACAAGTGCCTCAACTTGGTCCTTTAAGGAGCTCCCAGACAGAACAGACAGATAAACATATTCTTTGTTAATAAGCCAGATCTGCTCCTTCTAGAACAAGGAACCAGAGGTCCACCTTATTATTCCATTGTTTCATTATTCCATTTAGTGATTATTTTTGATGCTTCTGTGGAGGGATGGGCCCTTACAGCAACCTACTCTGCCATTTTCAGCGACATCACATATTTGGCACTGTTGTTAACATATGTGAAATGTTTAACTTTGGTGTTAATAATATGCTATTATATAAGAACACTAAAAGTCATATTTTCTTAGCTAAATTATTAGCCTTTTTACAAATTTAACCTATTTAGGGCTAAACTGAGCATAGTAAAATACTGAATACAATGGACATAAACACCTCTCTGCAGCCTTTCCATATCTGATTTTATTTTGTCTCTGGAATGGCCAGCAATTCATTGGTAATTTACTTTCCTTTACTGTAGATTGGTAACACACCAAAAGCAAATTTATTCCTTTAACTGTTTTTTTTTCCCTATAGGTTAAATATGGGAGATGTTTTTTAATTTAATCAGAGATATTTCACTTGTTATTCAGTCCATCAGGTATAGTAAACATTTGAAGATGATATAAACAGCTAAATAACATTAAACACAAATAACAATGATAATAATTTAGACACTTAATTTTTTACAGGACTTCACTAAGTGAATTATGTAATGGTGAAGATGATAATGTTGTATTGACATTTAAACAACTAAGTGAAGCATTCAAGAAAAAACTTTGGAAAAAAAGACATTGACAATGTTGATCTTTACCCAAGTACTGTGATCCTGGAAAATAGAGATGATCAAGAAATTTTTCCACCCATTTGTGTTTCAGAAAATGGCTTATAACACAGAACCATTCTTTCTTATATGACTCAGATAAGACTTGCAGATGACCCCCTGTTACCAATAGCAGTCCTCAACACACCTTTCAAATTCCTGTTCTTTGCCTCATAAATGATTAGTTGAACTGTTTTCCCCTACTGACCAATCTGGACAAAATGCATGCTAACTTGACTAAACTTTACTCAGGTTTCTTCCTTCACCACAGGTCCCTGGACTTTAATCCACCCTTTTTGCTCCTGCTGAAACTAACTAGAGGCATTTCCAGATCAACTGTCCCCGATCAACTGTCCAATCTCAGATCAATGACTGGCAATGTTAACCAAGACATTCCCAGAAGAATTGTCCAATCATACCAGAAATTCATCCCATTCCCCCACACCTGATTCTTCCTAGCCTTATTTATTCATCCCTATAAATTAAAAATCCTTTTCTGGCTGACCCTTGAGATCCTGTAAACCCACATTCTCTTTGTTGCAGTAGCCCTTCTTTACCTATTGCAGCCCCTATCCCCACTTATTGCAATAGACTTTTTGAATAAAATCCCTTCTTATATAAGTCCAGATTTGTTTTTGATTTGACAACAGCATGCCTTACCAAAGAAATAAAAGGTATTACCTAGCAAAAGTATAAATTTCACAATTTATTGAACTATTTACACAAAAATGTCCTAGCAAGGAAAATTTTTATTTAAATACCTAAATTCTCAGTAGGAATTCTAATAATTTTCTTGTATTAAAACTCTTATCTTAAAAAAATTATCTGGAAGAATAGCTATGTTAAATATCTCAAATAATTACTATCTTTGACTGAAATGTTAAAGATTTTTTTAAAGATAAAAATTAAAGTCAATTAAAAATGATATGACATCATACATCATAGCAGTAAGTTGAAATCTTGAAAGTGATTTGAGAAGTCTAATTATTCTTAAATGTTTCATATTGTGTCCAATCACTGTGTTCTAAATGTCCTGAATCATTTCACCTGTAAGAAAACAGGTTCTGAATACAGTTTTCACTTCTCCTGAGACTGGTGAAGACAGATCTACAGGGACTGGGCTACAGGCTATTGAAAAAAAAAAAAAAAAAACATTCCACGTGGAACAGAGCACTCCTCTCAACTTCACCAGGTCATCTAGATTTATTGCATATGTCCTCATTTTCCTAGCTTGACTTCATTAACTGCTGCTTTCTGTGATCTTGGGTTTTGTGTTTTCCCTTGCATATATTGGGAGCCCTCTGTTGTGGACTCACCCATCTCTGTGTCTGCCTTTATTCTTGGCTAGTTTGTGGCATCAATCTAGATTCTCTTCCAAATCTGACCTCAGCATTTTTCCTTTGCTCTTCCTAATTTTCTGAATCTCCAGGCCAGGCTTTCTGGATGGTACAAAGCACATAATAACTTCCAAATGGCTTTGATGCTGATGTTAAGAAGGGAAGACAAAAACAAGGAGCAATGACTTTTCTGACACTGCATGGACAAATATTGGGTTGGTTAGGCACTCACATTAAAAAAAAATAGCTAGGGATAAACTGCCTTTACCAGAATGGTTGTCAAATACACACAGCCCCACCTCAAACACATGTCTGCACTCACACACAGATCCATACACCTATTTTTACATCCAGGTCTCTTACATATCGAAGCCTGACAAGCATCTATATGGCTGCACTTTGCTGTTTTATATCTTCATTTTCTTTTAAATAAAGGCAGCTTTAGATGTTCACTTTAGCTTTATTGCATTTGTACAAAAATCTTGAAAATTTCTCTAAGGGGGTTGGTCACACACCATGTTTTCCTCTTCCCAAGCATGCTAAGGACAGCTGTAAGCAGATTTTCTTGTTGTGGGGAATTGACAATACACATTTAAATAAAATATATTTCAATGAAATTGTTTTTATTATTCCATTGTTTCATTATTCCATTTAGTAAATTGTTGATTTGAATGATAAGTACAAATCCAGTCTCACATACTTTTATCAATAGATTTTTTTTTTGGCTTAGAATGATTTTAAAGATAGAAGAGAAAATATGATTCTGTCATTTTGCTATAATGCATCTAACAAGGCAAACGTATCACAAACTCTGTATTTTGACATGTCTGTAAATAGGAGTGCTGTGTCCTCCACATCCTTCTTTTGACTTAGTAGTCTTCAGCATCCCCGGCACAGATGGCAAGCAGAGCTTTCTCATAATGCCCTGAAGCAAAATTCTGAAACAAACAAACAATGTCTTTGAAATAAAATGTCATAGTATTTCTAAAAAGAAGCCTGATTCCTCTGAATTATAATGAGAAAGATCCATGGGCCATTAGCGTTTCTGAAATTGTTGACTCTTTTCATCTAAGATTTAATATGTTCGGAGAACTATTCCTAGGGGAAGTTATTGAAAAATAATACCGTGGTTATAGTCAATAGAATAGGGTTTATATAAAGTTGATTGAACCCTAATGTGTATTTATGAGAAGAATAACTCACAGTAGAATTAAATCTCCTCCACTTTAAAAGCAGTGTCTTAATATTATTGTTATAAATCAGTTGAGTTTATTGTTATAAATCTGGAGGGCAAATTGACAATATGCCTCCAAAGATTTAAAAATGTTTATACTTCCTAGTGCAGTAATTCTACTTCAAGAAATATATCCTAAGGAGATAATGATCAATTATTGAAGAGCACAAAAATTTACACTCAAAAATACAGACACCATTATATATAATAGTGAAAAAGTAAAAAGCAGTATTTAATAATGTGGGGTAGTTCATGTATTTTATAACTTATGCAGTGGAATACCATGATTCAATAAAAGTATTCCTTTATGTAGTAAAACATACTAATGTTTACATATATTTTTAAAAAGCACCTACAATAACATTTCATTACTGATTGTCTATGGTGGAGAAAAAGGGCAATTTTTATCTTCTTTTTATGGTCTTCTGTAGTTTCTAAGTTTTTCAAAACAATAATAGTAAGAAATAAATGGAATTATAAAACCTATGTTAAAAATCAACTATCATATTAATGTTCTCTCACACAAAGTCATGCAATTTACAATTCACTGTTTTAAATCCATATCGTAAAGTTACATTAATTGCATGTAGACTTTGAAGTGGCTTGGTTAATTGCAGTGTATATGTTAGAATTAGTTTATTTATTTAGAAAATGAGCTATGACATGTATTTCTCAATGAGAAATGTTTATTGCCACTAAAAGTTTAGGGTTTTGAAGGTAGGTGCAAGGAGAGTTTTATCAAAACAAAGGAATAAAATTTCTCCTAACTGCTGCAATGCCTCTTTTTAGAAAACACTTTGGCTATGCAAAGGCTTATAGGGTCTTCTGTTTTTTTATGGTCCTTTTGTCCTTAGGTTGTCAAGTTGCTTCTGGATCACTTTTAATAAACTAAAAAGCTATTTTATGCGATTGAAAATTTCAGTGTAAAGCCATGTGAACAGGTAACAGCACTTAGCTATGTGCAAATTATAAGGCAAGATTTATTCTCAGGGCCCTGTGCTTGGTTTAATGCTCTGCTGATGCCATCCCTAAATTCTTTATAAATTTTTGAACGAGAGGTCAGATATTTTAATTTTAGATTGGGTGCCAAAAATTACATATGTAGCCCCAATGCTTTGCCAGGTTTTACCAAAATCCAGAATAAAATGTAGACATATCAGAATGAGTAAGTTGGTTTGTTTACTTCTGAATCATTGCTGCTTTGCCCTTCAAGGGCTAAAGGGATAGGGGTGCATAGAATTTTACATAACTATCAGGGTTAGATCCCTCCAAGTTACCAGTTTATGGGATGCGACCTGCTTCCCTGCGTTCTGCGACAGTACGAGAGCTGAACTGACCTAAGAAGCCCCTTCACGACTGGTGCCCAACGTGATTTTTCCTGATACTGATCACGCTTCAAAGCTTAACTCACGAAGCACAATTACACAATTAGGGGAGGAATGTTTTACACGACTCCATCAACAATTTTTGTTTGAAACACATCAAAGAGAAACAAATTCTGTTACTGAGGTGAAGGGGCTCCCTAACGTAGCCCCCGGTTGACGCACTAAAGTCTGTCTGATGTACCAAAGTGCATCACCTTTGTCAGAACAGTTCGCTTTTTAGATTCCAACACGAAGTTACTTAAATTAAAGCTCTTATTTCAGTTTCAAAAAGGATAGAATCTGGGACAAAATAAATCACGTGTAGGAGACTTACTTTGATGTCATGAAACAGGGATTTTCCGTATCTTTCTTTGTATCGTTTCCTGATGGTCATCAGATCTATTTCACTTCTGGCGATTAGAATCCTGATTACGGTTTTGTTATGGAAACCGAAGTCCTGAAAGACACAGAATAGGAGAGAAAAAAATTAGAAAACTGTGGTTTAAAGTTAATCTATCTAATACAGACTCATCCTCTTTTCTGTGGCCACTTATTCATCCTGTACTCCTCAAACACGGGCATGACTTCTCCTTCTCTCATACGGGGTACATACGGTGAAGTATTCTATCTATTTGACTTCTTTCCCTTGCTTTGCTTATGTATTTTGTTCAAGTATAATTGACATACGATTGCCTCTTAGTTCCAGATGTACCTCATAGTGATGCAGTATTTTTATACATTACAAAATGATCCCCATCGATCTAATTTCTTACCATACAGTTTTTCACCAAACATTTATTACAATATTATTGACTACATTCCCTATGCTGTATGTTATATCACCATGATTTATTTATCTTATAACTGGAAGTTTGTACCTCTTAATCCCCTTTAGCTGTTTTGCCTGTTTCTCCACCCCTCTCCCTCAGTGACCAATAGTTTGTTTCCTGTATCTGTAAGTCTGTTTCCACTTTGTTTATTCATTTGTTTTGTTTTTTCGATTCTACGCATAAATGAAATAATATGGTATTTGTCTTTCTCTGACTTATTTCACTTAGCATAATACCTTCTAGGTCCATCCATGTTGTTGCAAATGGCACGATTTCATTCTTTTTAATGGCTGAGTAATATTCCAGTGTCTCTCTGTGTGTGTGTGTGTGTGTGAGACACAGTCTTTATTGATGGACACATAGGTTATTTCTTGGCTATTGTACATAATACTACAATGAACATAGAGGCACTTATCTCTCTTCAAACTGGTTTTTGTTTTCTTTGAGTAAATACTTAGAAGTGCAATTGCTGGATTGTATGGTGGTTCTATTTTTAAGTTTTTCAGGAAACTCAATACTGGTTTTCATATTGACTGCACCAATTTACATTCACACCAACAGTGTATGAGGATTCTCTTTTCTCCACATTCTTGCCAACACATGTTATTTTTTGTCTTTTTGATAATAGCCAGTCTGGCAGGTGTGATATCTCACTGTGGTTTTGATTTGCATGGCCCTGATGATGAGTGATGTTGAGCATCTTTTCATGGGCCTGTTGGCCAGTTGGCCATCTGTATGTTGCCTGTGGTGGGGCTGCTGAAGCTGGTGTGGGTCAGGGGCCCAGGGCATGCTGGGGCCACCCTAGCAAGCCGGGTAGAGCATCTGGACCCTGTTTCTGTCTCTGCTATCAAGGTGGAGGGGGAATGTGAAAATTGGTGCTCATTCACACCTATGGCCCTAGGGAGGCTTCCCACAGTTCCTCACCCATTTGGTGGATGTTTTAAGGTTAATGAATGGATTTCCTTTACTTATAGTCTAGTTGCCCTTTAAACTGCTGTGTCTTCACTGTGCCCAGGGCAGGTGAGTCTGTGCATGGGCACCTCAGTGATATCCCTCCCTACTATAGGTCTTTGTGTAGAGGTTACTACGTCTCCAGCTCTTATCCTTCTCTATGTGGACCCTTCATTATTTGTTGTGCAGAAGCTGTTCAGCTTTCAGTTCTTCAGGCGGAATTGCTCTATATGTAGGTGTAGATTTGGTGTGTCGGTGGGAGGAGGTGAGTTCAGGGTCTTCCTACACCCCCTTTCGATGTTACTTCTTAAATGTCCCATATCTATTTCCAGTGTCACTGCCTTGATGCTGGCCCTTATCCTTTCACCCTGATTCTGTAACAGTTCCTTCCTTTTACTACCTGGCCAACCCTCACACTCTCTCCTTCCTGATTCTGCAACAGTTCCTTCCTTTTAGCCTAGTGTCCCTCACACTGCATTATAAAATACAAATCTGATCATGTGCTCTTTCTAGTAAAAATTCTAGGCCGGGGAGGGAGGTGGGTTTTGAATTATGTTAGATGAACTTTGATATGTCTGAGTGAGACAGCAATTACATTTTTATTTTACAGTCTATTACTAAAAATTGTAAAAATAAAAATTCCAGGTATTTGAAATATTTTTGGATTTAAACTCAAATACTGAAAAATACAAAAATCAATTTTTTTTAAAATTTCTGTTTTTTTTTTTTTTTTTTTAAAGATTTTATTTATTTATTTGACAGAGAAAGACACAGCGAGAGAGGGAACACAAACGGGGAGTGGGAGAGGGAGAAGCAGACTCCCCGCCGAGCAGGGAGCCCGATGCGGGACTCGATCCAGGGACTCCAGGATCATGACCTGAGCCGAAGGCAGTCGCTTAACCAACTGAGCCACCCAGGCGCCCCAAAAATCAATTTTTGTATACTAGCTCCCCAAAAGAATATTGCTTTATAAACCAATTTCAATTTGTCTTTTCAAATGGAGTAATGGGGACATCCAGTGGCCGGTGAGCATAATATAAATATATGTATATATATATATTTTTGAAGATAATAAAATTTTTGATGTCTGAATGTTTTGGATATAGACCTCTAAGCAATCTTTTCACAATTTGATGTGATTAAATTAAATGATTTACCCAAGTTTCCATATTTAAGTTGTATATCATTCACTTAAAGTGCACTAGAGAAAAATACCTGTAGTTTTCTTTGGTTAAGGGTAATATAAACAGCTTTGAGCAATATTTTACATTTGAGGTCATCATATATCAAAAATTCAACTATTTAAATATACAATCCTCCTCTTGTGAGCACATGTATATTCATTTTTGCATTGAAACACACACAGAAGGAATAGAATTTTTATTTATTATTAGAATAAGTAGCCCTCAATTTGGACAGATTTAGAATCAGACTAATTATGCTTATTTCTCCATGGTCATTCACAAGTGAAACTTCATTTTATTTTTGGAGAAGGACACTGTTAAAATCATTCCATAACATTGTCCAATATATTATTTAAAAAATTTTTAAATCAAGTCAGCTTTTTCTGCCTGGAAATAGAAAAAAATAGAAGTGAAGTCTGTGAGCATAGGATACATGTGTTTTGAGGATACATAAGTTGGTTCTTGTACATAAATAAAAAATACTCTTTACACAAGATATGTAATAGAAATATTCTCGACTATTATCATATTATCCCAGCATGCTAGCTACTTTTAATAAGTTGGTCTGGAAAAATTACTTTGAGGATAAAACACTGACTCTTAAAACTACTGTATTACTGACTTTTTAAAAAAATAATTTTCACTGAGTTTTTGAAGGTATGATATATGTATAATGATTTGTATCAGACCTTTTTCTAAAAATGTGTTATGCACATTATGGATAAAATGTGCATTGTTTCATGCATTTAAGTGTTTGTTTCTTTAAAAATAAATGTACCAAAGGATGTGTGATTGCCTATCACACTAAACTATGAACAACATTCTCATTTAATTACAAAATAGATTTAGAGTTTGTTGTTGTCAGCCATCTCTTTTTAAAGTACTTTTTAAAATAACACTTTAGGTTTAAAAATAACCACTGCCATTATTTCATATTTTTAAATTTCAGAAATGTAGTAATTTCTTACTAAGGGTTTATAATGTTTTGACATTTCCTGCTTGATAGTTTATGTTTTGTACTTAATTAAGTATGAAGTAGGGCCTTTGGTGCAATACAAAAGCTTTTGGATTTGCCAGTTTCTTCATATGCTAAGAAGAGCTAAAGGACATGGGGGAGATAGGCCCCACAGAGTCATACTTCTCAGGTAACTCAATTTGATGCAGAAAGCAGAACATTATTTATTTGGTGGTTCTCGTTTGGTGTATAATACATTTTTTTTCCACTTGAGCATATTTTGTTTGAAATGAATATATTTGCATACAAGTTCAAAAATGTTTAAATAATAAAAGTAAACCTAGTGCTTTGAGAAAGTAGACATGATTTTCTGGGGAAATTTAAAAAATATGTGGGTCATACTTACATGGATTGCACTATACAGTCTATAAGCAAAATAGGCTGGTTTGTCTCGAACGCAGAGAACTAGGAAAAATCAGAGAAAAAAAAGAACGTTTGTGAGTGACGATATATATTTTCTTTAGAATTTGGGAAACAATGAAAACACTTCTTTTTTTCTGTTAAAATCCTGGAAAGTGAAACTTTTTGAGTCCTATGTGGGATCCCTCATTGTACATTGTAGTAAAATTTCAATATTTAGAATGGTGGTAAAACCATAACCTATAGAAAAATGTAAAGTAACAATATTATAATGACTCATTCAGATTTTCATTTAGTCTATCTCTATCTCTTAGAGATCTCTTAGTTCCTTCACAGTGTCTAATGAAGAAAAATGTTTCCCTTTTATCTGAAAGTTAAATAAAGCTTCAAAGAGACCCAGGTTATCACCACTATTATAGATTTTTATTATTATAGAATTCAATATGCAATTGATTCATTTTCCCAAACGCTATTTTTAAAAGGCGAAAGATTTATGCGATCTGAAGAGAAACCAGAGTGTGCAAACACTATTTTTAATCCCTTGTAGACTTATGAATAGATCTGACGTCTTTCTCTCTTCTTTTTAAAGATTTTTAAATTTATTTGAAAGAGAGAAAGAGAGACAGAGACAGAGAGTGGGTGGGGGAAGGGACAGAGGGAGAGAATCTCAAGCAGATTCCCCACTGAATGTGGAGCCTGCTGCATGGGGCTGGATCTCACGACCCTGAGATCATGACCTGAGCCGAAACCAAGTGTTGGATGCTCAACCAGTTGAGCAACCCAGGCACCCCAAATCTGAGGTCTCTTAAAAAAAAGAAGAATGGATGGGCGATAAGAGGCCTGGACCAGTGTTAGGAGTCATCTTATCAAAAGCATTATGGCATTAGAACCACTTACAGCCTAGTGAACTGTTGTCCTTGATGGAGGTCAGTTGATGATTATTGACATTCAATAATGCTTATTTGAATAAGTAAATAAGTTAATAAATAAACGAGTAACATATGTGGGGCTATAACTTTTGGGCAAAATAAAGTCATCACAACAGTGCTTTCTCTATAGTTCAAATGATAATTTTAGATTGTAAGACCATGCCTTCATCTTTTACTTTTATTTGTAACTGTGAACCTCATAGCACTCTTGAGTCACTGCTAGAATGTGGCGCACTTTGAGGAGAAGGAGTTTTGTTGTTTTTGTTGTTTTACTGTTCCATTTTCAGGGCCTGAATCAATAGAGAGAATAGTAGATGACTCAATAAATGTTTATGGAATAAATGAATGAATCAGTTAAATTGTTTTCTGGTATTTCTCATTTCCTTATTTCCTCTCACCCACTGCTTTGTTTGTGGTATGGTCTATAGCGGAAAGAGCTATCTTGAAATTCAGATGACATGAGTTCTTTTCATAACTTTATTGTTCATTAGTTGATAGACTTTGAAGTAGTCAATTAACCTCCTTGGGTCTTTGTTGTTAAATGAGTTGTGATGTGATACGTGGTTATTAAATTATGTTGAGAATTAGCCACAATAAATGCACCATATTCTCAGAAACACACACACATATTCATATATTGTATACTGTTTTAAGGATTTCATAGAACCCACCAAGCCTTTTTAATGGAACCCTCGCTTAAAACTCCTTTACAAACTAAGCTATAAAAATTCTGTTCCCTACTATCTCCAATGCCCATGTATGTTTGTGCCATTCTAGAAATGGAAAATCATAACGTACATTTATCCAACAAATGTAAGTGATTACTTGATGTGTGTTCTCTCTGGGGATATTTCATAAAGACCCTTCATTTGTAGTTCCTACAATGTATGCTGTCAAGTCCCAGCACAGCACAAGGTACAGCATGGGTAGTTTAATAGTAGTCATTATGGATAGCTCCCACTGTTTTCCTCTCTATGGGAAGATATCTTTCCTTAGGAAAGAGATGGAGGTATGTCTCTCTCACAGTAGCCTGCAGAAATCACTACCGAGTAACAACTTGGTAAATTTTTATGGTAGAACTTACCCCTAAAGGCAAAATATTAAAGATGATGAAAAAAAAAACCCAACTCTTCCTCTTGGAGAAAAGGGAGCCATATTTCTAGCATTTATCTGCTCTTTAACAAGAGAATGGAAATCAGTACATATAAAATGAATTTAAAGGTATGAGATCCCAGTTACCTGAGAGAATATCTGAGAATTCAGTTTCCCAGTATGAAAGTTGAACCAGCTATTAGAGAAGGGTATTTGTTCATTAAAGTTATCAAGTTGCCAGTTTAGTGCATTGTATTAGGAGTTAATGTACTTTCCTCTATAGAGTTAACATCCTTACTAAATAATTAACTTCAGGGGAAAGTGACTCAATCAAGAGCAAAGTCATGCATCTTTAATTCAATCAAGCTAATCGGCATTTATTGTGGAATGAAAGGTCTGCTATACAGCAAAGGTCTGCTGTGCACCAAGTAAATTATTACTTACCAATTGCAACTAGCAACTCTTGGAAGTATCCATCATAGCATTCATTAATGGCATCTACCATGTCTTGCCCAGAAATATTTTGAAATTCCTGGAAAACTTCAACAAATTGATATAATTCAAAGGAGATTTTGTACATATTATAAATTTAAAATATAAATATTATAAATTTAAAATATAAATATTGATTAGATTGCTACAAATAGTGAAAGTAAATAAAATATAGGGGTACAGGTTGAGTTGGAGTAGGCTGTCTTTTACAATTTTTTATAGCGTTTTATTTATGTAGAAAAAAAACAAAACAATTTTTTTAACTAAAAGAAACAGAAAAGTATAGAGGTCAAACAATGGGCAAACTAATATGAGTGCACCTCTAAGACAAATATGGCAGCTTTACACAAATCATGACATTAATAATAATCTCCTTGACTTGTAATGGACTAATTAATCCATGTTTACTATATTCTCTTCAAGAAAACATACAATATGCCTAATAGAAAATAGCTAATTTTTTTGAGTAAGTTCTCCATCAGAAACAGAGATGATTTTAAAAGACTCAGTATTTAAAGTTTATATAATTCAGTTTTTGGAAAAAATAAAATTATAAGAAAATTTTATTCCTTAGTAATGTCATTAGATGAGACACGTCTGTATAAATGTAATTCAAAATAAGTACCTTTGTGATGACTGGCTTTCCTCTATATGTAATATTTCCCTTTTTCTCCCTTCTAATTAACTACCTGCTTCCTATTATACTATCAGTTAAGTAGCTGAAAAGAAACCTGATTAATAATTACCCAGCCACAGTTGTTGATAACTTTTGTTGCACAGGATCATTTGCAGCATGGTTTTGTGTTCCCCTGTCTTCTGCTGACAGGCTTCCCACAGGACCTGAAACATCATACCGCTAGGAAGTAGCCCCATAACCACCCCAGACCATTTTAACAAAGGGTTTTCATAGTCACTTTGAGATCTGGTTCTTGTTACCATTGCATCCTGAGCAGCCAGAGCAGGGTCTGTATATCCTTCCTCTCTGGTTCCCTGTAAAATAAGCACAGGTTTTCCTTTATAAATTTTCTTAATTAACAACCCATATAGGATTATTGGGACAAAAATCTTTGAACCACCAAATACCTTGGTAATTCCTAAGAGAATTCTATCATTATTTGGAGTTTATATTTGTTGAATACTATATGAAACATAGGACTTTTTTAAAAATGTGGGTTTTATCTTTCTTTGCACCAGTGGTCATCTTTCAAAGATGTTGAAATGTTTTTCACTCTTCTGTGCAGTTTCTTCTTCCCATCAAACTGAGCATCCAAGGCCTGGCAGTGGGTAGTACAAATGGATTTAACATTTTAGAGTGAAAATTCAGAGAGAAAGAATGAGTTAATATTTAGTTTCTGACTTGTCAAATAGGATACATGCAACAGTAAAATAATAATGAAATCCAGATTTTGTGGAGTAAGAATATTTTACAAATTTGTATCATGCCCACTGCTCCCACCCATTTATCATATAAAGAACAGACATGGTCAAGTTGATCAGAGATGTCCATTGCAAACAGGATGGAAGGAGGGCTAGCCAGTGCAGGAGCTTCTGGTCTCCAAGGATTATGACTATAAGGGGTGGAGGGAAGAGTTAGGAGAGATATGTGATCAGACAGTTCATTTAATGTTCCTTTGGGTTGAGATCTGGAGGGAATGTTTTTTTCTCTTCTTCTCTTCTCTTCTCTTCTCTTCTCTTCTCTTCTCTTCTCTTCTCTTCTCTCTCTTCTCTCTCTCTCTTCTCTTCTCTTCTCTCTCTCTCTTCTTTCTCTTCTCTTCTTTCTCTTCTCTTCTCTTCTGTTCTCTTCTCTTTTCTTCTTTGTTTCTCTTCTCTTCTCCTTTCTCTTCCCCTCTCCTCTCCTGTCCTCTCCTCTTCTTTCTCTTCTGTTCTCTTCTCTTCCCTTCTCCTCTCCTCTCCCCTTCCCTTTTCTTTCTTTCCTCCTTTCTTTCTTTCTTTCTTTCTTTCTTTCTTTCTTTCTTTCTTTCTTTCTTTCTTTCTTTCTTTCTTTCTTTCTTTTCTTCTTTCTTCTTTTTCTTTCTTCTTTCTTTTCTATGCTGAGAGAACACTGAGAATACAGTGGCTTCTGCTCCCATCATCATTTTGGACTCGGAAATAGCCCCACATTGCAAGGAACTCAGTGATATAGCAAGATCAGGCTGAGGAAAGTCCTAAATACAACTTTTTTGAATTGACCTCAATCCCTAAGTAGCATTAATGGGTCCCAAATTCCTTATCTGCTCCTGATGGAGGAACTTGCATGCTAGCTGAGAACCTGGCTGGGGAGCTTGACAGATGGAGTCGTTTATGACCATGGCAGGGAGAGACTGTTCCAGTAGCCAAGAGCTATAAAGTAGACCACATTGGTAGACTGTGTGGGACCTAGAACTTAGGGGATTCTTCAGCTCCAGTGAGAGTAAAGATGAGGCTAAACCATCATAGAAGGTTACTCGGCTCTGACCAAATTGAGACAGAAAAAGGATCATAAGTTAACAAGCTGCATGGTTTAGAAGCTGATAATGAGAAATGTTCATACCCTGGACATCTATATTTCATCAGCTGCATGTCCAGAGTTGTTCAGAACTACCATTCCATAGTCAAGATGAGCAAGGATGCCGAAAATATCTTCACGATCTGAGGCACTATCACTCTCATAAAGATATCTCCTAAACCACACACAAATGCCTCTCCACCAACAGGGCCAGAAATCTGAGAGTTGAGTATTTAACTCAATAACTGTGTAAATGATATTGAACAGGTACTCACATTGACTATTCAAAGTATTGTATGGATTAAATTTGTTTATTAAATTAAATATTAGGCTTTCTTCCTTGCTAACCCAAAGCTGGAAGCATATGAGAAAGATCAATTTATTCATAGAGAAATAAATAAACTACATACTTTTGTGAGTAAATTTGTACCCCTGGAAAATTTAATATGTTTTAATTATAAATTAGAAGTTGTGTATCACTTAGAGGTGTCCCCCTAAGAAAAAGTTGATACAATTTTTTTTTTCAAGACACTGGATACATTTTTATTGAACCTTTTAGTTTAAAACATGAGGTAAAAGGAAAGCCAGTTCTCCTTAACCAATATTTTACACAAATGTAGTAAAATATTTCAAATTTTAGGGAATCATAATGGATTACGTGTCTTAAAAGTTGGGGATTGAATAAACAATATCCAACTTCTTGAATTTTCCTGTTGACTCTTCCTTTACAACAGTAACCAGTTCTAATTAGTTACATAAGTTTCTTCAAGGCCATGTTTTACTGTTGCTGATTTCTTTATGTCTGAAGCATTGCTATTTCAATCAATAGCCATAATTCCACTTCAGAAATGGTTTTGCTTTGGTGAAATTTTGACATCAGGCTGTCCTTTAGTTCCATAGGCCCACTCTCATTCCATCTCTAGTTGAGCCTTTTCTCTTTTACTCATAGTCAAGAGTTCATCCCATCTTCTGATGACTTTGCCTATTCCAACCTTAAAACTTAAAGGCGTGGCATTTTTCTTCTCCTTTGAACTCTTCTGAATATTAGTATCAAAAACATTAGTATGGCAATTCATACTCTTCATCTTATTTGACCTATATCAGTAGGATTTGATGCAATTGCTCACTCTCTCCTCCTTGCTATGCCTTCATCACTGGGCTTCCAGGATTCTGCACTCTCATTTTCCTTCTTTCTACTTCCCTGGTTACTCATTCTCCATCTTGTGTACTGGTCCCCCTTTTACTTTTCAATCTCTTAATACTGGAAAGTTGTAGTACTCAGTTTTTAGTACTGCTCTTGTCTGCATGTACAATCCTTCCCTTGTTAATCTTTACTGTTCATGTAGCTTTACATTCCATCTATGTTGTAATGATACCCAATTTTACATCACTAGCTTAGATCTACCATCTGAATGTCAGGGGCATATATTCCAATTGCCAACCAAACACTCTCACTTGGATTTCTAATATACATATTAGACACAACATGTTCAAAATCTATCTCCTGATCTCCCTCCAACTTAAAAACCTCTTATATCCATAACTCTCCACATTTCAGTTTATGACAACTCCACTGTTCCTACTGCTCAGACTAAAAAACTGAGTAACATTTTATTTCTTCTTTTTTACTTTATATCCTACATCCAGTTCCTCAGGAAATAATATAGACACTACCTTCAAAATACATGCAGAATCTGGGCATTTTTCATCACTACCAGAGCTTTCCTATAGGTCCAAATTAATATTGTATTTTGACTTTTTTTTTTTTTGCTGAAATAGCATCCTTACAGGCTTGTTTCTATCCTGTCTCCCTACTTTTCCCTCAACATTGCATCTAGTATGAATATTTTTTTTATTTAAATGAGTTGTCTCTGTGTGTATGTCTTTTCTCAAAGTAGACCAATAGTTTTAAAGACCAATGATGTTGAACATCTTTTCACATACTAGTCATCCATTTATCTTTGGTGAAATGTATGTTCAAATATCTTTTTTCTTGTTATTAGAGTCTTTGGTTTGTTATTAAGTTTGGTTTTCTTAATGAACAGGTTTATTGAGGTATAAATGCCTTGCAACAAACTGTACATATTAAAAAAAATCATATCATTCCTTTTCTCAAAATCCAGTAATGATTCTCCTCTCTCCATTTCATTCAGAACAGAAGCAAAAGTCCTTACAAGGCACAGATTTGAACTTTCTGACATTACTCACCACTACTATAGAACATTTTCTTGGCTTGCTCAGAAGGCACCAGCTGGCCTTCTTGCTATTCTTCACAACTGTCAGCCACTCCCTTGCCTTAGAACTTTCCCCTAACTTTCCCTTTGCCTGGAATGCCCTATCATTACCATTCATTTGCTGACACATTCTTTCCAAATGTTTGCTCATATCTCATCTACTCAATGAGATTTCCCTGACCAACCTATGTAATATTGCAATCTACCTACTATGCCCAGTCCAACAATTTCTATCCCCATTATCCTGCTCTGCCATATCTTTCACTGCCTTCTAACATTCTATATAATGTAACTGTTCATTAGATTTCTCTTGAATTGTTCCTATTCCCCCATTAGATTGTAAGCTTCTTAAACACTGATGAGGTCCTTGTCTCTTTTGTTCATTCACAATTCCCTATTGCCTAGAATCATGGTTGGCACATTGCAGGCACTTGACAAATACTAATTGAATCAATACTAAATAAATGTAGGAAAGCTAAAGAAATGACTTTTAGATAGCGGAATTCAAAGATCAGTTGTATTACTCCAGCTTTGTAATATAACTTGAAGTCTAGAATTATGATACTTCCACTTTTGTTTTTCTTTTTCAAGAGTGTTTTCACTATTTGGGGTCCTTTGTGGTTCCATATAAATTTTAAGATTGTTTGTTCTAGTTCTATGAAAAAATGTGGTTGGTATTTTGATAGGGATTGCATTAAATCTGTAGATTGCTTTGGGTAGTATAGATATTTTAACAATATTTGCAATCCATAAGCATGGAATGTCTTTCCATTTCTTTGTGTTTTCTTCAATTTCTTTCATCAACGTTTCACATTTTTCAGAGTATAGGTCTTTCACTTCCTTGGTTAAGTTTATTCCTAGGTATCTTATTATTTTTTGTGCAATTGTGAATGTCATTGTTTTCTTAATTTCTCTTTCTGCTGCTCTCTCTGCTGTGTAATAGAAATGCAACAGATTTCTGTAGATCAAAGGAACAGAATAGAAAGCCCAGAAATAAATCCACAATTATTTGGTCAATTAAACTTCAACAAAGCAGGAAAGAATATCCAGTGGAAAAAAGACAGTCTCTTCAACAAATGGTATTGGGAAAACTGGACAGCTGCATGTGAAAGAATGAAACTGGACCACTTTCTTGCACCATATACAAAAATAAACTCAATGAGTTAAGGACATAAATGTGAGACATGAAACCATAAACATTCCAGAAGAGAGCACAGGCAGTAATTTCTCTGATATTGGCCATAACAACATCCTTCCAGATATGTCTCCTG